TTCAATGTTTTTAAATATTTTTGAAGAACAGCATTTTCTACTCGGCAAAAAAGAGTGAGTTAATGAGGTCCTCAAACAAAATACAATCCCTCTTTTCCTATCAAATGGCTCTGTCACACAGAATGAGTTCTTCACAAATAAGCCTTCTATCGTAAAGCAACATATTTAGGGGGGAAATGTCATTTACCCACAAAATAATACCTTTGCCTTAAGGGCAAGTAAAAAAACCAGATAAGTTAGAGAGGATTACTAAGTTACAATAGGATTCACAGCTCTGTTTCTTTAAATTAAGGGCAACCATAATCCATTTAGGTCGGCTTCAATCTGTCATTAGCTACTTGAGCAAGCTTTGATGGGGAGGGGTGAGAAAGTTTTAGTCTTCTGAGTCATTGCTCGGTGAAGATCAATCTCAAAATATGATTAAACATTTTTTTCTGGCAGTCTGGTTAGCAAGTAAAACTGACACATACAAAACAGCAGAATCATTAAATGCCACACTCTCTTATCGGGAGGTGTGGGTCTTTTTTAGATCTATGTTTAAGTTAATATCGATGCCTTATGTTTTTGGTTAATTTTTCAGGCATTTAAAAAGATGTAGAGAATGAAAAAAGTGTAAAAACTAATGGCATTTGTCTACCCACTCCTCAGGTTAACAAATAAAACATAACTGTTTTCTCCAGATCTCATTCTTCCTTTCCCAAACGATAACCTAGCTCCTGCTATTGATTTTCAGCTTCTTCTTAGAATGGTAATGGACTATTTGATGAATAGTCAAGTAAAGTTTTATTAAACTAAAGTACAGAGAGGGGACACACCTGGTATGTGTGTGGTGAAGAGAGACTAGAGGTAGAATATCCATTCATTTTCTACTTCCTTAAATAAATATTAATTACATTCCTATGCTGTGAAAAGCTCTATGTTGGATGCTATTTGAGACGGGTTATCAAGCATAGGTCTTTTCTTCACAGAGGCTTAGAGTCTGATTGCGGATTAAAGGCCCTGTGTACAGAGTGATTATCATGCGAGGGGGGAAGTAGTGTTGACTGATTCCAGCTGTGTGATGAATCGGATGCACATGAAGGCACCAGGAAACACTTAATTGGTTGGACCTATGCCTTAAGATTTACCTGGCATAGGATAGAATGAGGCAGGAAGGAGACTAGGATCAGAGAAAGGCTGTAAAGTGAGAAAATAAGATCTCAAATTAGAACAGGATCAGTAAAGAAGAGGTGATGAATAGGAAGATTCATGAGAAATTGCAAGGGCCAGGAGCTGTTAGAGGCAAAGATGATGACTTCCAGGCTTTTTATTTACTTATTTTAAATCTTTATTGTTGAAAGTATTACGTATGTCCCCCTTGTCCTCCCATTGACCTCTTCTCGCTTATCCCTGCCCACTTGCAGGCTTTGAGAGTACATTTAGAGCAGTGGAGGAGAGGAAACGATCCATTTCAGTTTGAGTTCAGTTCCAGGCATGTTCAGTTGGAGGTGCTGGTGGAGCATTTAGGTAAAAGTGTCCAATAAACAGTTGGAAAACCAAACTGGTGCTCAGGAAAGAGCTCAGGATGTCAACTGGGCAGCCATTGTTTAGAGGAGATCAGATATGTTAGACTAAGGACAAGGTCATTGAGAGAAGAGGACTGAGGAGCACCAGCAAAGGGGCAGGAGGAGAACCCGTGAAACCACACATATCCTGGAACCATGGATTTTCCCTCTGTGTGTCTTTCATGGTGGCCGCTGCTTGCCCCTTGCAGGACAGTATTTGTAAGGTCAAAATATACAGGAATAACAAAAGAGAGGAGGTGGACTGTTCTAAAAACCTATTACTGTGCTCAACAGGGATGTTTGAGGAGAGTTGTGAAGGCGAATGAGTTTGAGTTGTAGGTAGGTGATAAGGAAGTGGAATTGGTGGGGCAAGACCCCTGTTTTTATCCCAAGGAGTTGAGAAGGTAAGGGAAGATGAGAGATCAGTTATTAGGGTGAGGAGTGTGTGAGACTATGCCATATTCAGTTTTTAAATATATTTTTATTGATTTCAGAGTGGAAAGGAGAGGGAGAGGGAGAGAGAAACATCAATGATGAAAGAGAAT